TTTAAAATAATTTTTTTTAAAAAAAAAAAAAACAAAAACAATCATACATCTCTTCCATCCCAATCCCCTAATCATGCCTATTCAATAAAATAATTTTTTTCATCAAAAAAAAAAAAACAACAGAAATTCAATCAAACATCTCTTTTACATCTCTTCCATCCTAATCCCCTAATCATGCATGTTCAAGAAAATAATTTTTTTCATACAAAAAATAAATAAATTATTAAAACATAAATTCAATAAAACATCTATTCCATCCAAAATTTTAAAATTTATTAATTATGCCTTTTCGAAATACATGTGTAGGATTATTATTAGATTTTAATCAATATTAATATCAATATCAATACTAATATTTAATAACATGAACTTTTGCAAACAAATTAGAGTGTCACGTTGTCATATTTATATTCCTTTTTCTTTTTCTTTTTTTTTTCACCATTGGTTTTTTTTTACAATTTACCTTTTAAAAAAAATAATTCTCTCTATCATAGTATCATGTTGTTTCATCAGGGAAATTTCTCCTATTTTCTTTTAATCTTCTTCCTCTCATATAAACATATTTTTATTTTACAACTCCTCCTCAAATCCCCCCTCTTTACAATCAGTGAATTTTTCCCAATGTAAATTTTAAATTGTATGTTTTGCTCATGGAAATTAAAGTTGAAATTTAGTCAAATTCGTCTTCAATTAAGTTTCTTCCCATCAGTTTTAAGTAAGTTCATTATATTTCTCTTTTAATGTAGTATTCAAATCCTAATGGTTAGTTCATTTAGTTTCAGGGAATTCCAATAGTTGCAAGTTGGTTGTGATGGACTGACGGTCGCTTAGTATTTGCCATTCAAACTACTTTTCAGGTTTCCTTCTTTTCAATTTTTCTTCGTAAAATTGGTATATTCTTAAAGTTTGTTGATAATGTTTAAGTTTTGGATTTGAAGGATTATTGATCGTTTATTCCTCTACTACTAAAAATTGATGAGAAATTCAGTGTTAATTTTCATTAAAATTTGTTGTATTTTTTTATATATAAATTTTTTTAGCCCAAATTTAATCTGTATGAGATTTATGGAAGACAATATCAAGAGTATACCTTGATTTAATCTTCAAAATATAATATTCATTGTATATAATCTTGTATGTACATTATATTCTTGCTAGAATAATATACTCTGTCATATTTTATTATCAAGTGTCTCTTTCATAAAGAATTGTTTTTTTTTCTTTTCTCTTTCTTCCCTTTTCAATGTTTCATAACATTTCCATGTCTTGAATTTATTTTACGGAGTTGGTGATTCTCTCCATTCATAATATGTATTCATATACTATGTCATTTGTACAAGTATTTTAAGTCATTCTTCAATCTATACCAATTCAATGTTTTAAACTCTTAATTAATTGCTCCTATACATACACAGGTTTACGAAACTCAAATATATTTAGTTAACAAGTTTTTATGATTGTAAAAAATTGTGGTAATGCACAATATAGATAAAGATGGCTTTGGATATGGGGTATTATAAGAGCTCTTTCCCAAATTAAAGTCAAGAAGAACCGCAATTTCCAAATTGCAGCCAAAGTTTTAAGTTTTCCCCTTCTACCGTCCACGTAAGCACTGGTTAAAAAACCGGTTTTTTTTTTTTTCCGGTCCAGCGTAAACCGCTACTTGAAGTAGCGGTTTCTTTGCAATAAACCGCCACTTCAAGTAGCGGTTTCTTATTTTAAAACCGCTACTTGAAGTAGCGGTTTGTTTACAAAAAACCGCTATTTAATGTAGCGGTTTATTTTGGAAAACCGCTACTTCAAGTAGCGGTTTACTTTGAAAAACCGCTACTTGAAGTAGCGGTTTACCCTGGACTGGTTTTTTTTTCAAACTTGCATAATCACTCAAAAAAAAACCCTGCAAGTTGTGTACCTGTAAAACATGAGATATATAGCATATTTTCAACACAACCACCATAAATAACAAGTTTATGAAGATCTAAGGAAGTCGAAATTGCAAAGTCGAATATTTTTCAATTGATTAAATATAACAAAATCCAATTCTAAGCATTTACAAAAAAATTAGTTTAGTTCCAAAATATACACTTAGCTCGGGCGTTGCTTCTTCCCATGAGGTGACGATGAAGATGATGCAGCTGTCTCCTCTGGAATGTCATCCAGGCCAACTTCAACCCCAGACGTAGTGTTGCTACGCCGTCGGTTTCTCTGATACTGGCGATGCACTAGTGGAGGAGATGTCATGATAGTATGCTGAGAAGGAGTCGGTGGACGGAAGGCACGTGCTGAATGGCCTCCACGATGAGGTGGTGGTCTGATCGGCATAGTGTGCACAGTAGAAGATGAAGACGTGGACGGTCGAGGCTGCTGAATAAGGTGTGACTGCCCCACCCTAGACAAGGTTTGGCCACAAAATGATGTAAAACCCTGCATCGTCTGTATGGCAAATGGTATAGCCGTCTCTGGTGGCAACTGGGAGATGGTCTCAGTAGCTCCCGATAGCTGGACGTGCAAATCAGCAAATGCATGTGCCTACATTTAAGTGTAGTTTTAATGCTAGTAAAATGAAATCAAAAACGTAAGAACTAGATTGAAATGAAGTGAAGTTCATACAAGCAGGAGGTCAGAGGTAGCTGGCTGGTAATGACTCGGGGGGCGCTCCTGCGAAGGTGGAGTAATGACCAGTCTCGTGATGCGACGGTACCAAGCCATGTACTCTGTCATGGCCGGGGAAGAAGTCCCAGTGAACGGGTATCCCTGGACGACTAATGCCTCTCGTTGACTCCACTCGTGTACATGGTCCGAATGTCGAATCTCCCAATTACGCTGTCCCCTTCGATCCTTCCTGTGTAGAGCAACGTCCGTGTCTACATCCTGTGGGATCGGCTGGTCTAACCCGAACTGACGAAGGACTCGGTCTGGGAGGTGGAACTCAACGACGTCAAAGCATATCAGAGGTGCCCGTGAACGCCAAATGTGCATGTCTGAGCGACAAATCTCGGGAAGTCGATCCATCACCGCCTCAGTATATGGCTGCCAAATCATCTAATTCCCAAAACAAGTATGTCAACATGTATATGACTAACATAATGGAAGAAATACAATGCACAAAAAAAAAGAAACACCGATTGTACCTGGTCCTCGCGCTGATGGTCAAACGCATCTCTGTAGTATGGTAGTCCAGAAGCAGTATGCGCACACGATAGATGGACACGTAACCACCTGTAAAGACATGTTAATAATAATTCTTGAAAGATAGAATTGTAAGAACATGAACTTGAAGCAAACATTGTACCTGCACGCCAAAGGGTCAACACCTCGCTGATGCTGAGTCCCCAAAATGTCATCCTCATCCTCAGCCTCAGGGTCCTCCTGTGGCGGATCTCGAGGCCTCCTAATGTATGGTCGGCCAATAGTAATATGCTCCCACGACCACAACTGTAGTAGGATGAGCGGGCCTCCAATCTGTCTTGAATCTCGCTGACATCCTCGACATAGCTGCCGATACAAAAAACCAAGAGTCGCACTCCCCCAGCTGTAGGTCGAAGCTGTCCCCCAGTCTCGAAGGAACGACAAGTAGTAGAGTGACACAGCATCGCCACTCTTGTCGGCGAACAGAATAGATCCCATGAGAGTGAGAATGTAAGCACGGCTATGGCGCTGAACTGTCAAGTCATCAGCTCCCTCTGGCATCTGTGAGAAGTGACGTCTGAGCCACGTCAACTTCAAAGTAAATCCCTCCAGAAACGGCTTACGTTATCATCATGGCCAGGTCGAACTCCCAGCAACTCCTCAACTAGGTCATGCCATCCCTCAAATGGAGGTCCAATGACAGGAGGGCCGTGCACTCTCAGACCTAACAGGACGGAGACATCCTGTAAAGTAATGGTGGCCTCACCTACTACTAGGTGGAAAGTATGTGTCTCCTGCCTCCACCTCTCAACCAACGCCGTAAGAAGAGATCGATCAAGCAAAAACCCTCCTCCCAAAATCCTATGTACACCGTAAAACCCAGCAAGCCTAACGTACTCTAGTACTCCGCCATCTACCCTCCACTCACGTCCCACGCTGACCATATGCTCCCTAACTGAGAGAACTCTATCAGCTACGCCACTCCAAACATCGTGGCTCCTATGGGAAGTCTGCAAGCGTAGAACAGATGGATCAACTGGGCCTGGACGAATCACCGGCTCCATGGGACCTACACGATAACAAAAAATTGAATTAATGTTAAGCGTTCGAGAAAAAACATAAATATTAAACAAGAATATATAATTAATCATGTTACCCAGATGATCCAAATCCACCAATAAGAGTAGGACATGTCTTCTTGTTATGCCCAGGTCGCCGACAAACACTGCATGCCTTCTTCACACGATTGGGACGCTCATCCATTTCATTTCGAATTCTAGTGGACCGTCGGCCTGGGCCTCTTTTCAAATCTGGGTTGGCAATAGTAGTAGGACCATTGTAAGCTGACCAGTGGCAAGGATCAGGAACTGGTGCGAAACACTTCGCGTATGAACGCCTATATTCGGCGGTCATGAAAAAAGAATCCACAAAGTCTGCATGTGATAGGCTTCTATGACGACAAACTGCTAGTACATGAGAGCATGGGAGCTTGTATATTCTCAATTTCTCACAAGTACATGTCTTGCTCAACAGATTCACAGTGTGGGAGTTACCACCTTTACCAGCTTTTCTTCTTCCACGACCGGTCCTAACCTGATACAACCCGATGGCATCATAGTCAAAAGCAACAACCTCATGGTGCGTGGCTTTCTCCATGTTGGCTTCTATTGTCTTCTTAGCCTTTTCCGATAACTCATGGCCCTCTTCAAGTCTTCTTTTACTCCAACTTCTTCTAGTTGCAAAATAGGAGTTAACCCGGAAAAAGGTCATTTGCACTAAAGCGGTTATCGGGAGACATTGAGCCCCCTTTAAGACTCCGTTGAAAACTTCCGACATGTTTGTAGTCTTCACACCAAACCTATGCCCACCATCATGATGAATGGACCACTTACTGTACGGAATTTCCATCAAGTACCTACGGGCCTCTACATTCAAGTCACCAATTTTGTTGATGTGGTAATCAAACTTCTTCTTCTGCCTTGCAGTAGCTGCATGTACTTAGGCAACTGTTCATATGAACCCTCCCAATCCCCATAAATGAGTTTTATTGCCTTTTGTTTCGCTAGCCATGCTCTCTTGTAGGTTATTTGGAATCCATCAAATTTCTCTTTCACAAGTTGCACCATTGTCTTGATTTTCAATGAAGGATCAACGCGAATGACATCTAGAAGAGCATTGCAAACGAACTCGGAAGTCAGTAGCTTATGATCTCCCGAGTCGATGTCACCAACACAGTTACTTGCATGAGGGTCGTTGTACCTCACAATTTTAAACGTAGAGAGTGTTGGATCTTTCACTCCTCTAAGCCTCCACGAACAACTACATTGTTCTTTCCTCTTGCACTCAACAACATATTTCTCTGGCTCTGCCTCCACAACTCGAATTGTTTGATTTCTAGCTATGGAGTAAGATTCCACAGCATCTTTCAGTTGTTGCAATGAGTCAAACTGCTGACCAACCTCAAATTCTCCCCCATTGTTATATGTCTCATTTCCTAACCAAGACATCCATGAGTTATTCAAACGAGGATCAACTTGCGCCACTTCATTGAAGTCTGAAGTGGGGGCGCTTCCTTTAATTGCCTTATCGCGAGCTTCAATTACCTCTTCATCATCATCTTCATCAGTGTCATTCATCTCTGCATCGCCAAATACATCAACATTGTTTGGGTCAAGAGAATCAAGAATGCCTTGTGGTTGTGTGCTTGTCGAGGTTCCAACATTAGGCGATGAGGCCGGAGACCTAAACTGTGAGAGATGGTCATTGACATAATGTGGATCAACAAGCATTCTTGTGAATGACCCTATGCCCACACTTTGAACACCAGTGGAAAACGGTTGATCCACACTACCAAAAAAATCCATCCCCGGAAAGGAACCAGTGTTAGTTTGCACAACTGGCTCCTTTGGAACTTGTTCAATGAACAATTGCATTGCAACAGAAGAACTCTGAGTCACAGCAATCCACATAGCTCTAACAGCGTTGTCGTCATTTAACGGAATTGCAACATATGCCCCAGCCATAGGATAACGCATAACCACCTTCAACTCCACACCTCTAGGATCAACACTCAATTCTTCATATAGCTTGTTCAGAACTTGTGAATATGTCATCGCAGAATGTACAAACACAAATTTTTGATTCCCACCCCTATACGTTATATCGCTATCTTTGTGGACAATTTCTCCACCCCAATAGCAATATAGAGGGTAGTTCGGAACCTCCATGTTTCATTCTAGAAAAGACCATTATTAATCAAAGATATTAGATTGCAAAAATTCATTAACAGTGTGGCAATGTCCTAACATCAAGCAAGCAAACTACACAATTATAGCAACCTAAACTGAGCTATGAAGGTCTTAATACCTCTTGAAGCTCAACATGGGCATAAGTCATGACTACATGTACTTTGAGCTCATGTACTTTGTGTATAGAAGCTCTATTTTCACTTTCAAAATCAGCAATTATAGCAACCTAAACTGAGTAATGTGATCGAAACCATTAATAATTCTACAAGGGTTATATGTAAGGTAAGTAAATCAACAACAACAACCAAAACCAACCACAAACATACATACAATTCTGAAACTCAATAACAACAACAATAAACAAGAACACTAACAACAACAACACAACCAAAACCGAAACTCAATAACAACAACAATAAACAAGAACACTAACAACAACAACACAACCAAAACCAACAACAACAACACATACATACAATTCTGAAACTCAATAACAACAACAAACTCAATAACAACAACAAACCCAATAACTGAATACAAAAAATAATTAGGGCACTTACCACAAACAAGAAGATCAGCACGTTTCTTCTGAAATTAGCGAAGCCGACCACTAAAGTCGAACCCTCGGCGTCAACAGCGGCGGCCTTCGTTGCTGAGGAATGCTCCGGCGGCGTCGGTGGATTCCTTGGCTGCGCCGGCTTCCGTTGAAGGAGGTGTGATTTTGGTGGAAGGCGTGGATGGGATTTTGGTGAGAAGACGAAAATGAAAGAGGAAAGTGAAATCGGGAAATTATACCTGCTACAAAACCGCTACTTGAAGTAGCGGTTTATTAAACAAACACCGCTACTTGAAGTAGCGGTTTATTAAAAAGAAACCGCTACCTGAAGTAGCGGTTTATTAGTAAAAACCGCTACTTCAGGTAGCGGTTTTGCTGTAGACCGGATTTAAAATTTCTTCCCCCTGAACCGGTGACGTGGACGGTACTTTGGGAATTCTTAAAACTTTGGCTGCAATTTGGGAATTGCGGTTCTTCTTGACTTTAATTTGGGAAAGAGCTCGTATTATAATGAGATGGTACTATAATAATTGTGTTTTATTACTTATCTTTAAGTTGTTGATTTTTTTTTTTTTCTACTCTTGAATTTTTAATAGTTATTAAATCAAAGGTTTCTTGAACAACCCTTCAATTATAATTATTTTCAACAAAAAAATATAACCAATGCATTACAGGTTTAAATTAAGCAATTTTTAAAAGTCCCTTGTCAAAAGAAAATAGTCTTCTCGAATTTTAAATAGTGTCGGTTTATTTTATTTTTTTCAAAAATATAAATATAGAAAAGCTAAACCAAAAACAATGTTTTACCTAAAGGGAAGTTAATTGTTCATAAACCGACATTAAATTCCTTTCTATTTCCATTTTACTACGCATTCATACTTAAAGTTTTGCTTATGTATGATCAAAATTTGTTTTCCACATTTAACAGAATTGCTATGTTTGATTTGCAGAAAGGGCATTGTAGACCAATAGTGAGTGAAGTTCAAATTGGGCTACAAATCCTCTTTAGGTAATAAGCATGTTTCTTCTATTTTATGTATATTGCAAAACAATAAATTAGAAAAAAAAAAAGGTACCCTTATATGTATTTTTACTGTGGAGTACAAGATTTCTGTATAAATTGTACAACAATGTTTAAATTGTAACAGTTGTAGATGACATTATTTAAATTTGACAGACTTTTAAGTGATTTGTACTTTAAAATCGCTAATTTAACACTATTGTTATAATATTTCCTATTACTATAAGATTCGATAGTAATGTTTATATATTAAAAAATATATATATGAACCCATTATGCATAATTTTGAAATCCCGTATTATTTTATTAATGTGTATTTTTTAAAAATAGAAAATTACAATACAATAAATAGTCGTGCATCGCACGGGTTTAATACTAGTTATACTTTTTATAATTATACTAAAACAGAGGGCACTCAAGCTACACATTGACACGTGTCACTCTGTGGTTAAAAATTTTCCCGCTTAATTTTCCACCCCTAAATATATGTCAACTAATTCAAGATTATATGCAATGAGATAATATAAATATATGTATATTTCATACTCCTTCAAATTTAGGAAAGGATATATGATATAGCATATTATAAGATATTATATCCTGTAAAAACTTATATCCTACTTATTTTAGTCAAGTTTATATTACAGTTTAGTAAAAGATATTTATTGATTGTATACTAAATGTAAATAATCACTCACGGGTAAGTCTTGTATGTGGCTAGCCACACGCTATGGCCATATTGGTTTATAAGAGTAATCTTCATTTATATGTATGAGTAACCTCATTTTCTCATATGAGTAACCCCATGTAACACCCCGTCTAAAACATAAGGCAAGACGTTAGCGGAAATAACGTCGAGACGGAAATGTCACTCTACAAGGTTACCAAGAAGAAATAAGGAAAATGATTAAATAACTGATGAGACAAATAAAATAAAGTGAAAGAAATCCCAAATGAACATTAAACACTTCCAACGAGGGAAACAACCTCAAATCCGATTATCCCAAAAGAGAAGGTCCAAAGATAACAAAAGCCAGTCGATAAAACTGCTAAGAAATAAACTAAACTCTCTGCTCTTAGCCCAGACTCAACAGGAACTACTCTTCACTTGCGAATAACATTAAGGTTCCACAATCAGTGGGGAGTAACTAGCCGTTCTCCCAGTACTTGTAGAGATGCAAAGCTAAGTACAGAAAAGCTTAGACACAAGCATAAAACTTAACAACATGTGAGAACATCAACTCAAATAATAATTACCACATAAACTCGAGGGAAAAAATGAAACATGGGAAACATAATTATAATACAGATCAAGTATTTAAATAGAACAACATAAAAATATCACCACAAGATTTCAGAATAAAATATAGCAACTCAAAACAAAACGGTAACTCATATGAACGATAATTAATACTTATAAAGGTTCCTTCCCAAGATCAATAGTATCTTTAAAATAAATAAATTTTAACTTTTTTCCGAAAACAAATTTATAGTGAGGCAATATATAAAATATGGACGTCGGGGAAATCTGCAACCCACCACCAAAGATTTGTTAGGGAGAACCTACAGACGATTCGCAGCCATTTGCGTCTAAGAATGGCCAAACTCCCGGTTTTTCCTACTCGAATTCCGCATCCTGAGTAGTTACGGATGACAACAAATAACCTAGGAAATTACATCTCGAATTCCGCAGCCCAAGATGTTGGCATGTTCCAACCATTGAATTCCGCAGCCCAATGGTTGTCTTACACTCACAAAATATATAAAACTATAAGAAAATACTTCTTCAAAATCATCCAAACACATTAAGGGATTATCAACCCCAATTTAAAGTAGTGCAGGTCTTTACTTCTAAGACCAAAATTTAATAAAAATCATTCAAAAGAGTTTAAGTTTCAAAATCTTCAAAATATACAAAATAATTTATATTTCATAACAAGGTGTCACTCTTATTGTCTGGATTTGGGTACGAAGCATATTATAACAAAATATCACAATACACTTCGTACACAACCCTTGGCGAAGCGGTGCTAAAAACAGTATTATTCTACTTTTAAGCACAACAACGTCGACAACTTATCTAACACTTTAAAAATTATATTTTACAACTCTACACTCACAACTTTAAATCAACAATAGATAAAACTAATTTAAATTAAATTACTCAAGGTACAGTCTAAACACCTCACTCAATTAACTAAGCATGAAAATTGCTTTAAACAATTTAGAGTAGTACCACCAATATGCGCCCAACACCAAACATGCAGAACCATCACTATTTTTGCTCAATCAAAATTTACCCATGATTATACTATTGGCTAATGATGAAACTAACAATCTAAACATGAGTACTAGGCATAAAAATCACGATAATACACTTAAACTTGCAGTAGCAACAATAATATGACATGAGAAATAAATCTTGGACGTAAATAGTGCAAGTATACAACAACTGATTTACTGACTTTTGGGATTTTAACAAGTCAACTCGGCCACGAAATTTATCCTTAAAAATTGTCTAGTAACCCACGCATAAACCAGTGAAAATGGCAGCATACATTAACACCAAAGTTCACACATTATTCATGCTCAACCGAAGGAAAACGAGAACAAGTCAACAGGTTTTCAACTAAAATTTCTTTTGTAATTGAACATGATCAAACAACAATATATATAGACATGATAAAGAAGAAAATTCATGATCTACAACTGCTATATCTCACGCAAATTACACTATCAAAACATAGTACAAGTTTAATTGAAACCGCAACCGGAAATTCAAACAAACTAATCCTAAACGCGACTAATCTTATCTTAACCTAACCATGGTTTCTATAGTAATGGAATAATGCTTGTTACCTCGATAAACTTCCGATAAAACCTTCAAAAACCAGAACAACTAAAAATGAATTAGCCCTCTTGATGACCTTGAAAACCTATACAAAAACAAGATTGAAATAAGATGTATGTATAAAATCCATACATGAAGGGAACGAAAAAGGGAAAGGTTTAACCCATCAAACTTACTTATTCTCACAGCCAAATTAAGAGGGAAATAAGATGATCCTTTGAACAATAAAACCCAGCAACAATCTCACAAGAATTGAGGAAGAAAGAGAAGTAATAAGGAGGGAAAAGAAGGAAGAGTTCAAGGCTGCAATGGAGTTCTTTTGAGAAATGATTCTCACGGTTAAAAGGGGAAGGGGAAGTGATGATTATTTACTTAATGAGGGCAGCAAATATGATGGGTTTGAGAGTTATAAGAGGCAAGAGAATATATATTGAAGGCAAGAATTAAGGGGAGCATTAACTTGGCAACTAAAGAGTCAAAAGAAAGAATCCAATATTTTAACTTTCGAAAGCCAACTCAAATACTAGTATACTACTCCAAACCCACACCTAAAATCAGCCCAAACACCACCTAGGTTCTAGCCCAACCACCTAAACTTGGTTTGGTCCATAAAAGTAACCCCCGTATATTTCGCCTCCACCGACTCAACTAAAAAAACGTAAATAGATAATTTATAAATAATTAACATGTAAATAAAATTATATATATATATATATATATATAACCCCCCTTATGTGAAAACCCTATTATATGTGAGGACATATTATAACCGTTGGATTAATTGCATCCAATGGCTACAATTTATCTCAATCAAATGTAATTTCAAATACAATTTTCCAGTGTTTTCTCTCTCCACCTTCATTCAGCGCGCAATTTTTCTCTCTCCTCCTTCAATTTCTCTGCTCCCTTCTTACTGCTCTCTTTCTTTGCTTTGATTCTTCATCAATTCTGCTTCTAACTTCATTGATCTTTGTCAAGGTAATTTTCGTTGATATTAGTTTGATTTTCGTTGATTAAAGTTTGATTTTCGTTGATTAATGTTTGATTTTCGTTGATTTTAGATTGATTACTTAAGGTTTTTGTCAATTTTTTTGCGGTTTTTGGCGATTTTCGAACTTATTAGTTGATTTTAGTTTTAATTTTGCTTCATTTGTTAATTTAGGGTTCTTTATAGTGTAATTCGAACTTTTATTTATAATTTCTGAGGTTATGAATGGTTATAGAGATTGATTTTGTCAATTTTGGTACTTGCATTTCACTAATTTGTGCTTAAATTTTGATGCACACTAAGTGTTTGACAATATTCCCCAATGAATCCTATTATTTTATCAATTTCAAATGTAGTACATATTTAATTAATGATCTTCTTATTTAATATTCCCC